ATGGTAGAACTAATACACATGGAATCAGTCACGAGATCGACAGTATAGATTAAGCTTACGCATTTAGCAAAAACTGTCAATAAGATAATTTGCGACGTTGCTTATTCATGTATGGCCAGCGCTGTATGAGTTGATCACTCGAGCTGCAAGGCTTCACCTCATCTGTGTACTCATTGGACCCCACGCCACCTTACTTGTAACTTTCGATAGAAACGCGGTAATAGCTTCCTGTAGAAGTCATCTATAACCATACCACTCGTAAAAACTCCTCCCAAGAAATTTTATGCTTGGAAAGGTTAGTAATTGCAGTGTAGAATGACCAACTTTACATTTCCTCAGTAAAGTAATGTACATTGTAGCATTCTTAAAACTAGTGTGTGAGTGCGCACAATGAATCAAACTATGTGAATGTAAAGCTCGCAGTCAGCAATCTAAATAGCTCTGAGATTAGAATGAGAAATTACAGACATTGCATGTCTACAGTAACATGGAGAGCATATTGCTGGAGACGCTGACTATTTCTCTTGATAACCTTTGATTACGTTTGCCTATGGGCTACTACTAATTTGTGTTTCCTTGACAAATAGACATGAAGTTGATCACTCACTATCCATTCGCGATAACTAGTGCTGGAGCGCTTTCACTTTCCTCGCATCCGAGGAATATATTACTTCTACGCTGCGGAGTGACGGTGCGTCTATGGATGAACCAACCGTTATAAAACTTTAGAAATTCATTGAATCACGATTACTTTGGTTATGTCTTGATTTTGTGCACGTGGATGTCGAGATTTATATGATACCGTTCTAACTGCATTTTTTGTTCCTATGTTTTCTTCTAAGGAGTTCCACAAGCTGTGGACTAAGATGTTGAAGAATAATTTTCGAAATATAGTAAGAGCTTCTTGATCTGTTGAAATAAGGTCGTTTCATCTTTGCAAAATTTGTAAATGAATTTCTCAATAGATACATTTTGGAAACTTCTCTAAAAGTTTTAGTTAGCAGTCAGATTATAATCAGTTCATACCAGTTAGAACGATACTCTCAATCTTGTTTAACATGTAATCGTTTCTGTCAATGCGAAAATTTCGAGGTTTGCAAAATCTCTTAAATTATTTGTCCAAACTTCGACTCAACTCTAGGGATTTCATAACTTTCGTTCCAAGTGTTTTCTTAAGACCGCGCTCAAATTTCAACATATCTCGTAATAGACCTATGGCAATTGAGTGGTGAGCAAAAACACGGCCTCAGCAGGGAATCGAACCCGCGTTCCATCCATACCGTGGGGCGTCCGCTACCACTACACCACAGAGGCACATTTGCGCCACAACCCATTTTTCAACATCTATAGTTAGCTATCAGCCAATAACCTTTTGCAGGTTCTGTCGGGTATGCGATTTCGCTTTATAATGGATGAGTGGACGCAGTCCAAGGATTACCCTCGTATGCCCTTAATTTTTTTCAGATGAGACCTAATCCACTAAATTATTAGTACTTCTAAGTATGCATCATAGAGTGATTTGCCTAAGTACTTCACCGTTTGATCTCTCGGGCGGATGATTTGATATTAATCACCGAGGAAGTATAGAAATTACCACTGATTTCAAAGGTGTTCAAAGAAAAAGCTCACGTTTATTCTTCAATTTGATGTTGTTCCCACGTTAACGCTGATAAAACTTCCATTGAAAACATGATAATTTTCAGCAGAATGAAGCACGCAAAGATAGCATTATATCAGACTTTATCACCATGTTATGGTGTCTACGGTGCGATGTAAAGTCTATAAAAATTGCCTAGAGTATGATTACCAGTTCATTTATTAACATGCCCAACAGGAGAAACCTGTCTAGAAGTGGAAGTGGAGGGATCTGGTCTAGAAATGGAAGTAGAAGGAGTCGGTGGAGCCGAACCCGCAGAAGTTGCACCCGATCACTGAGTCGACGCTCCCGTCGATGGCGCAGCCGGCGATCACGCCGATATAGCCATCGTTCGCCATCAAGTGAGGTTTTACCATAAATTTAAAATGCTGTCCGGTTCATCAGGATTGTCAATGTGTAGACCGAAAAGAATTCTCAAGCGGGCATTCTTTGAGATCAATTTCTAGCAGTGAGAACGACATGGATTTGTACTACTTTGTTAATATAATTCCAAAAAAGAATGATTTAAGCTCAAAAACGAGGTTGGTACGCCAGGGTCATACACCGGTGTTTCGGAGGTTCGTCCTCCTCGTCAGTGACCCCCGCCCCACATTCAGCCCTGCATTGAAGCAAGGAGGGAGGCGTATGTGGTGATGGAACAGTGTACAATGACACTGGTCCATCACCACCCTCAGTCGATGGATTTTTTGCTGTTAGATCAAAACTAAATCAAAAGATCGACTGTTTTTGAAACCCCGCAAAAAACATTCAATATAATTCCAAAACCTCGTTTTGAGCTTAAATCATTTTTTTGGAATTATATTGAATGTTTTTTGCGGGGTTTCAAAAACAGTCGATCTTTGATTTAGTTTTGATCTAACAGCAAAAAAATCCATCGACTGAGGGGTGGTGATGGACCAGTGTCATTGTACACTGTTCCATCACCACATACGCCTCCCTCCTTGCTTCAATGCAGGGCTGAATGTGGGGCGGGGGTCACTGACGAGGAGGACGAACCTCCGAAACACCGGTGTATGACCCTGGCGTAACAACCTCGTTTTTGAGCTTAAATCATTCTTTTTTGGAATTATATTGAATGTTTTTTGCGGGGTTTCAAAAACAGTCGATCTTTTGATTTAGTTTTGATCTAACAGCAAAAAAATCCATCGACTGAGGGGTGGTGATGGACCAGTGTCATTGTACACTGTTCCATCACCACATACGCCTCCCTCCTTGCTTCAATGCAGGGCTGAATGTGGGGCGGGGGTCACTGACGAGGAGGACGAACCTCCGAAACACCGGTGTATGACCCTGGCGTAACAACCTCGTTTTTGAGCTTAAATCATTCTTTTTTGGAATTATATTGAATGTTTTTTGCGGGTTTCAAAAACAGTCGATCTTTTGATTTACTTTGTTAATTTCTATCCAGTCCCATTAAGGCATGCTAAGTGTCGCTGTGGGTCATAAGAATGCGGATTCCTTGTTTTCTGCGCTTGCTGCGCTTAGCGTTCATTGTTCCCACCGAGTTTTCTGCCATACCGTGTCTCCCCAGAGTTGCGCTTCAAGATTTTACATATGCATGTAAAAAATATAGTCCACGTGGTAGAAGGCGCCTAAGCGGGTCTCGAAGACGCCAATCAAGTAGCCGGCGATCAAGAAGCAGAAATCCTCCCGTAGGAAATCAAGAGGAAAAAAACTCGTTTGCGCCGCAGTCGTCGAGTTGGCCGCAGGTACGTGTTACAATCTGGATATCTCCTGGAAGAAAGCCATATAGATGCCTTAGAATCTTTAATGGAATGCCCTTTCACTGAGTAGTTACTATGCAATTCTCCGTTTATTCAGAAAACCACAGCGCGGTTGCGTTTTCTTGCCTCTGTTTGTTAATCAAAATGTTTCGAGTTTTAGAGTGGGTCGCCTGCAGCGGACGAGGCGAACACTTCCAGCTCGTCGTCGCAACGTCATGGGCTAATTCTAGAAGCCGGCACATGTCAAGTGTAACTAATACTCACCGCTTCGATTGCGTCTACTAATAGAAGGTTTTCCTATATTTTCCTATAATGATCAAAGTGAAAGCGAGAATTTCTCACCTAATATTCACTAGTTAGTAGTAGACTCAGCTTTGCATAGCCAAGAAGGACTCTGAAGTGATGGAAAATGGTTTCTGGTGAACAGAGATAATCCGCAGTATGCGCGAATAACATAGAAAACAATTATTACGTATCAGATATCTACGCATGCGTATGCGCTTGCACACACTAGGTTCAATCCGCCTCACAGGCAGGTCATATGGAGTCTTGAAAGATTCCTTTCGCCTTGCTCTCTTGAGACCGTCATTCATTGACGCGGTCCGGCAAACGTATGACTATCGAAAAGTATGACTTGTGTTAGTTTGAACGTGGTAAATGATGATCAAGCGTACATTACCTATCAGTTCAGTACAGTGGAGTCAGACACACTTAAAATGTCTAATAAAAACGTGCCATCAATTGTGGAACCACGGAGATCTTTTTGTTATTTTAATTAATTTTTTCGAGAACGACAGCTTTTTGAAGTGTCAGCAGTGCATAGCATGATTTGTTCACTAGTGCAAACGAAGGACGTAATGAGATGAATATAAAATTGAATATCATAGAGATAGAGATGTCTCTGTTGCCGTCAAGATGACACAGAACCTCTACTTTTTGTACTCCTAATGAGATGTGTTTTAATACCTCTTGAATGCGGACCGAAGTTTTCTGCGTATTCTTATGTGCCACGTTTTCTCCGCATGCAGCAAGTAATTATCCAGATACTACCTGGACACTGAGCATTTGTTCAGTATGATTCAACACGCAGCTAGTTTTACGTATGACTGAAGCATGCAGAGAAGAAATTCATTCAGAATTTTTCGTATGACTAAAAGCGACAGTTTCTTGTCTCTTCTCATGGACTTAAGGTCTACCCTTTGTCCTCAATATGGGGATCTGGATGGAAATTTTTGAATCACAGACAGTAAGCGGATAAACAATGTGATAAGCGAAACGCATTGATGGTTCATGTTGAGGCTGAATGGAAATCGGTTTCTTATAACATCACTTCACTACTTGGTAAGCAGCATTCAAATTTGCTGCATAGATTGTCTTTGGCTTACTTTTTTTTTGGAAGATTTTATTTTTCCTTAGGTTTGGTGAATAGAGATAATCCTAGTGCGCGTGAAGAATTTAGATGCAGTAAAAGTACTAGAAATTTCGAATACCAGTTACCACAACGGCTGTCAACTCAACTGGGTTTATAAAGCGAAATCGCATACCTGACTAAACCTGTTAAAGGTTGGTTGCTGATAGCTAACATAAAGATGTTGAAGCATGAGTGATGGTACAAATGTGCCTCGGTGGTGTAGTAGTAAAGCACGCGTCCCCGCATAGAATGAAACGCGGGTTGGATCCCGCCTGAGGCCGTGTTTCTGCTCACCACTCAATCCTCTTAAATTAGGTTCATATGAAACATTGTAACAATGCGAAAAAGCAGCAAAATACTAGAAATTTCAAATATCTCGTAATTATTAATTGAGCCAACATGTCATGTGGTCTGTTATATAGGCTGACTTATTGTGACCGATACACATGTTTCAACCTTGACAAACTAAAAGTATTTGAAAAAGTGCGAGACAGAGCGTAGTCTAGTGGTTGTGATGCTCTTCGCGGTTCGTCGCAAGGCCAATCCCCATCCCTCACAACACATGTCCAATAGTCAACAGCGAACGCCTTATGGAACGCCACAGTCAAGCTATCCTCAAGATTGCAGAGAGACTCGCTCAACGAGTATTCTACGACGCTCAGGAAAAAGACGAAAAAAAATGAAATTCAAAAAGTGCTGGGATTGTCATGTTGGAAAAATTTTGTGGGACGTCAAATGAAGTGGTGGTATTTGAAAGCCTTCTGAATTTATTTAATAAATCCAAAGCGTGAGCTCGTTTAGTTTTTTTTAAAGTTTACTGGCCTTACATTTCTAAGAAAGGTGTTAGGCTACAATTTCCATCACAAAGAGAAACTGATGGACTGACCAAGTACCCTCCTACTACCTACGCTCTAAATCTAATAAAATTTTGATTTAATGAACAAACTCGAGGCGTAGCTCGCTAAGAAATTTGTTCGAAGATAGGTCTCACGTTCCTGAGAGATGTTTTAGACATTAAATATTTATCACAAAGAATAGCTAATAAAGTGTTGGAAATCAAACTCAATTGTAATCATGCGCTTTCATAATAGTTAAGACCTTGAACCTGCTAATGCAGCATCTGGGCCTTAGCAGTTAATGTCTGTTAAAATCAGTGATCAACTTCGTCACTGATAGAGTTCTTTTAGTTCATAGCTTCAGCTGGCCTTTTCCTCATGAGGCCGAGTCCGTCAGTCTGCCTGGACACTCAACGTAGAGGGATGACGGGTTAAAGCTCTATGGGCTGCCAGTAGATATAGTACTATCTTACATCGAAAGAGTAGAAGTAGAGAACAAGATGAAAAAACTTCGGGTCCACTAGTCATCGCCTGCCTGGGTTACTGCACTGGACAGCGTGATGAGTGCAATGAACGAGTAGAAAATTCACAGTCGTCAACTCTAGTCATCATACGGCTGAAGTAAGCGAAAATCGTTCATGTTAATGGTCTGATAACTCGTAGAGGCGACAGGAGTTCCAGCCTCTGGTTTTGTTGTTTGAGGGCTCGTTGGTCTTCTGCATTTCACAAAAACCTCTGTAGAGGTGGTCTTGGTGACGTACCAACTTCACTTAACAACAAAGTCTTACGGAATTTTAAACTACATGCTGTGAATTAACAGGCCCGCTATGGATTTCAGGCCCTTGAGCAAAGTTCTTGAACGTCTAAAAAAGCGCTCTTTTCATTTGTAACGCGCAATGAGCACGTCCACACATCGGTTCGTCTCAATGCAAAATGTGTAGCCGACAAGCTATTCTGTGACAACTATAGGCCTTGCCAGCGTAGCTGTGTCCGCCTTACACCACTCTTGCCCGCTGCCGAGATTCAACTCCTTGCCGGTTCGAAAGAAGCTTTCGAGCCTTCCAAAAATTGGCCAGGAGGTGCTTGGTGCCCCCTCACCGCCACTGCAGGGAATGGAAGGTGAGAGTCACCTGGGAATGCCGATCATCCCGGTGCACTACTGCAGTACTGCAGTAGTGACTGGGACTTTCACACCATTCCTGGTTAGCTAACGTCTCAAGGGCGTTTCGCCGGTGCCCACACCTCTTGCCGGCAGGGCACTAGTGTCGGCAGCGTATTTTGCGCGAGTTTGATAAAGAGAAGGAACACAGGCAAAAGGATACACTGCGCTGTGAGAAGGATAAAATTTCTTTCACGCCTCTGGAACAAAACAAATACAATATTCTTGTCGTTAAAGCAGAATTTTTGTTGTGAAATTTGACATCAGAATTCCTGATTTTCTGTGAAGCTCTACCAATGAGACAAATATCTACAGTGCTACGGTGAGGTCACATTGACACTGAATTTTGAGAAAGAAATCGAACTGTGTCGATTCTGAAATCGTCATTTGCCATAGATTGTTCTCAAGCTTATGCTACATTCACTATTTGTTTGTGTCATTCCATTGCCTTTATTTCTTGTATGATACTTCGAAATCCTAGTGTTTTTACTGCTTTTTTCGCAATGTTATGAGGTTACTTATATACCTAAGAGAACTGAGTGTGAGCAAAAACATGGCCTCAGGCGGAAATCGAACCTGCGTTTTATCTTATCCGGAGACGCTTGCTCTACCACTACACCACCGAGGCACATTTATTTCTTACTATCGATTGATCTAGAAATTGACTGTCACCTTCAGTTATAAAGAGCGGTAGTACTTAACATATAAAATAGCATTTCAAGTATGAAAATGGAGAAAACTTATCTTGATTAGCTGACGCGAGGTTGATAAAACAGTTGTAGAAATTCGGCTGACGTTTCGGCGACCCGCCTTCTTCAGAGCCTGGACGTATATAGTATTAGTCTATTTGAATGATCGGATGGTCTTATTTATATGCTGCCTAGGTCACGTTAGAAGATCAAACGAAGGAAGGGCGCGAGATCTCGCGTGATGGTGACGCACTCGTCCTTCCGATTCATTTCGGGGTTTTGGGCGTTTATCCAAAATGCCTCAAGAGTCTTGCGCGTGGACGTTTTTGATTCCTGCGCCAGGATTGTGACAGTCACATCAAAATCTTTGTTGTTGTGTTTTTGTGCCCTATGTAAACCTAAAGGTTTGGTTTTATCTATTTTAGATTTACTGTCTAGATGTTCTTTTATGCGGACGAAAAGTGGTCTTCCCGTTTCGCCTATATATTCTTCCCCGCATGTTTTACATGTTAGCAAATAAATTGTGCCTGATCTCATACAATCTCCCTCTTTTCCGTTGGGGCAGATCATACAGTTGTTGGTGTTGCACAATCGATCATAGAGTCTATTGCGGATCAGCTGATGGCGTAGGGTGGGAGGTGGGGTTTCGATAATTACCACGGAATTTTCAAGACCGCATCTTTTCAGGCACCTTTTAACCGCGCTACTAATCTCGTTTGATATAAATGGTAATTTGAAGGGGACTCTATTTAGGTGCGGAGTATTGTTCTTTTGTGACCTAATTCCACTTTTTGAATATTCCCTAGTGGCAAATGTTTTGTAGCCGTTGGAAATGGCGATCTTTCGTGCCAAGTCTAATGATTCGTTCCTTTCCTCCTCTCCTGTGCACACACTTTTAGCTGTTCGAAACATGTTTTTAATTAGCGATTTTTTCATGTGTGAAGGATGAGAGGAGAGGTAATTGACCAAAATGTTCTTGTTACTTGGTTTTCGATACCACTTTGTACTATAGCCACTATCCAAAAGCTTTACTTGGGTATTTAGGAATGGAAGCCAGCCCCCGTTTGAACTTTCTCGCGTAAATCTGATATGCTCTGACTGTCCGTTCAAACACTTCAAAACATTTGTCCATTTCCTCTTGTGTGGAACAGACAATGAAACAGTCATCTATATATCGGCAGTAGAGCAATGGGCGGTGAACGAGAATTGGAGCTTCCACCTTATACATAAAAGCGATGGCAAGACTAGGTGCTAAGCGTTGGGGGGTAGCCATGGGTCAACGCTTAGCACCTAGTCTTGCCATCGCTTTTATGTATAAGGTGGAAGCTCCAATTCTCGTTCACCGCCCATTGCTCTACTGCCGATATATAGATGACTGTTTCATTGTCTGTTCCACACAAGAGGAAATGGACAAATGTTTTGAAGTGTTGAACGGACAGTCAGAGCATATCAGATTTACGCGAGAAAGTTCAAACGGGGGCTGGCTTCCATTCCTAAATACCCAAGTAAAGCTTTTGGATAGTGGCTATAGTACAAAGTGGTATCGAAAACCAAGTAACAAGAACATTTTGGTCAATTACCTCTCCTCTCATCCTTCACACATGAAAAAATCGCTAATTAAAAACATGTTTCGAACAGCTAAAAGTGTGTGCACAGGAGAGGAGGAAAGGAACGAATTATTAGACTTGGCACGAAAGATCGCCATTTCCAACGGCTACAAAACATTTGCCACTAGGGAATATTCAAAAAGTGGAATTAGGTCACAAAAGAACAATACTCCGCACCTGAATAGAGTCCCCTTCAAATTACCATTTATATCAAACGAGATTAGTAGCGCGGTTAAAAGGTGCCTAAAAAGATGCGGTCTTGAAAATTCCGTGGTAATTATCGAAACCCCACCTCCCACCTACGCCATCAGCTGATCCGCAATAGACTCTATGATCGATTGTGCAACACCAACAACTGTATAATCTGCCCCAACGGAAAAGAGGGAGATTGTATGAGGTCGGGCACAATTTATTTGCTAACATGTAAAACATGCGGGGAAGAATATATAGGCGAAACGGGAAGACCACTTTTCGTCCGCATAAAAGAACATCTAGACAGTAAATCTAAAATAGATAAAACCAAACCTTTAGGTTTACATAGGGCACAAAAACACAACAACAAGGATTTTGATGTGACTGTCACAATCCTGGCGCAGGAATCAAAAACGTCCACGCGCAAGACTCTTGAGGCATTTTGGATAAACGCCCAAAACCCCGAAATGAATCGGAAGGACGAGTGCGTCACCATCACGCGAGATCTCGCGCCCATTCTTCGTTTGATCTTCTAACGTGACCTAGGCAGCATATAAATAAGACCATCCGATCATTCAAATAGACTAATACTATATACGTCCAGGCTCTGAAGAAGGCGGGTCGCCGAAACGTCAGCCGAATTTCTACAACTGTTTTATCAACCTCGCGTCAGCTAATCAAAATAAGTTTTCTCCATTTTCATATATCAATTGATTATGCCGAGGTTTATAGAAAGTCGAACTTTTGAATTGTAACATTTCAAGTAGTTTTCTTTGTCAGTATTACCTTTTTTCAAGTGAATGTCAATCGTTCGTTCATTGTGATTAACGCGCTCTAATCCATTACTAGTGATTTTTTTTCTGGCGCCAATTCGTAACATTTTGAATTTTTGTGTTCCTAAAGGTCGACGCCACTTTTAAGCCCCTTTGTTTTTATTGATCTACTAGTCATGGAACGGGCCTGATCCTTCCCTGACCCCACAATCTGCTAACTCCGATTGTGGCTCTGGTTTTGAAAGCTATGGTGTCATTATAAATGTGTTTGTTTATTTATTTACTTCCTTTTTTGCACCACAGGAGCTCATGTGGCGCAGTGGTTGGAGGTGCAGTGCGTCGCACAGAAGATCAATGGTTCGATCTCGCTCTCATAGCTCACAAAGCCATTTATCCTACAGAATCGGTAAATTGGTACCGAACTAGTCGCAGACTTGTCTGGACAGCGGGGGACCAGCGCGAGTCATTGTAAAGGCCAAGTATGCATGCATTCAAGCACCTCCAAAGAAGTTAAAAATTGAAGACGAACGCATGGCGCCTCCCTCAGGGATATTTTATTTTATTTTATCAAAGGCCTCTCCTGAAAAACAGGTACGCTTTTAAACTGGTCGAAATTTACATTATTCGAAGGGCATAATTCGTTTTGAAACAAACTTTGTCCAGCGAGATATGTAAGATTATGTTTCCTGCGCTGCGCATTCATATAATTATCACGCTTATACTTCGCTGGACCGTGCTTTTCTCTAAAATTCCGATGGCCTTCAAATAGCGTATATATCGAAAAGTTTTGAAATGGACTTGTTTCTCAGAAAAACCTTCTTACAACCATGTTGTATCTATAATGAGACTATGTGCCCCACGCGCCCTCGCGCTTCTACTATTATCGCGCCTTCATGGGGCCACAACTCCTCACTTAGGGTGCCGTCTAATTATTATCTTCACATCACTTTAAAGTCTTCTTCTTTAGTTAGAATATGTCGACTCCGATGTGCAAGATAACTTAGGAAAGCTTGCTAAGGAAAAACAGACTGATGAAGAGGCAGCAATTAGTCAGCAACGGAAAAACCAAAAGGAAAAAGACGATCCTGGACGTGGAAATATTGTACTCACTGGCTACTTGATTGTATTCTATCTTTGCTGCTTTAAGATACTCATTTTTCTTACTTATTTTCAGGTTGTTATAATTGGAAATGGTATGGGAATGTTTCAAATTGTTGCAACAAAAGTTGGTGATGATGAAGGTATGAAAATGTTTGAGGATTCAATATATCATTTCTTTCGTTTCAATTATTTTCTTAAAACCACAACCCAAATTTCAATTTGCCAAATAATCACTATTGGGCCACGCATGTCATGTGGTCTATTAGTAAGTGTTGACTTATAGAGCCCGATACACTTGTTTCGACCTTGCAGGGGTAACTGCCCGGCTGACGAGACTGCAAGGTCGAAACACGTGTATCGGGCTCTATCAGTCGGCCCTTTTTAACAGGCCACATGACATGCGTGGCTCAAAATTGATTATTTGGCACGTTTAAGGATTGTTTTTTGAGTTATATTCCATTTGGTAGCACGATTTCCATCCGTATTTCCTAGGCAGAACAAAAAGTTTTCATTAAGAGTGATAGTAATAATTTGAAAGCTTGAATATCAAGCTAGCGCGCTGGAAAATTTTGAAGATGAAATTATGCTTCACATCAGCCGCGCAATTCAAATATTACTTCGCTGGAAGTACGGAAACCACATGAACATGTGGAGAAGATGTTCTAATATTAGGGTCAGACATTTCAAGCAGAATCCTCCGAGGTGGAGAGACAATTAATGAACAAATACACCTCACCTAGGCGCTATTAATCGATGTTGTTGTAATCCACTTCCTGCTTACCTCTGCCCACCCACCCCCCACCCCCATCCCCCCCCCCCCCTCCCCGCTACCGCATCTCACCGCACAGCCTGTGGATTTTCCAAAGAGGACTTGCTCGTATGTGAATCAGTCTTATTTTCCCTGTTTCGTTGTAGAGAAACGGTCTCTTCAGGATATAAGCACAGCGTTGAACCCAGTAAATTTTACGCTATTCAACCATCACTGAAAGTCTTGAGAATAATTCCGTACTGAGAGAATTATGCGCGTATCAAGCTAATATTATGTCGAATTTTTTGACGATATAAAAGGGTCTTCTCGAAAGACCCTTTCACGTACAGCGCTTGCCTGAAATTTATGCTTTGAAATGATTACCAGCACTGTTTATGAGAACTCTTGCCCAGCGTAGCGGTTAGGCTTGAAAAACTGTGGTACCATTTGGAAAAGTTCGTTTTTTTTGTGTTATCAAAAGCCGTAGGACGTATCGCTAGTTTTGAACAAGTTTCATT